TTTTTCGACGCGGGATTCGTACGCTGCCCGAAAGATGGGAGAAAGTAGTGGCCAGCGATGGACAATACTTTGAATCATAAATGTATAACCAGTTTTTTCCAATAAAGTCTCGAATTTCGGAAAAAAATCGGCGGAAGCAAAGTTGTACACCTAATATGAAGCATTTGATGATCGAATACAAAGTAAAGTTGCAGTAGAATTGATGTACATCTGTCTATCTGGGGTCTTATCAATATTGCAAATTATAATAATATGTAATGCAACGTTATTGTTTTAAAAATAAAAAAATAATGTATTTTTAAACAAGAACACATTTTTCTTTTTTAGCTTTTCAAGGAAGTAAGGAATATTTGGGCTGAAATTGATAGCATGGAGCAGCAAGCAAAGGCTAAAGCAAAAGTGAAATCAAAAGCAGCACTGTCGTCATCAGTAAAACAGCATCATAGAGCAGAGACAACAATAGCAAGTGCTCCTATCGTACTTATATCTAAGAAGACTGCTGATAATATTTCTGATTCACAGGTGCCTATACAGAATATCGAAAATAATTCTCAATCGATATCTAGTAACATGCAAATGACCAGTGAACCATCTTAATCAGGGTTGCCACAGACCAGAAAAACCGGGAAGTCAGGGGAAAATATAAAAAAGTCTGGAATTTTGAAATTTGCACAAAATTCCCTTTAATTGCTCCTATTCCAAATAATTGTTATATTTTTTTAAATATATTTGGCGTTTATAGTCAAATATGTTCAAAACTCGCGCACTTTAAACGATTTTAATAAAATAATTAGAATTTATATTTTATTTAGAATTTTTATTTAGTCGCTCTTTTTCGTCACAACTGCATTCTTTTTTCCAATACTAATTAATTTTTTGTTGGCTTGAAATTACTCAAAATTTTATTATGTTACTAAACTTCTTTTGCGTTGTTTTTAATAATATAAAATAGGCTAGTTTTTTTACAATCCTCGATTCTAAACGTTAAAATATACATATTTTACACTGATCATGAAAAATTTTCCTACTTTTATCTAGAAAACCTAAAAAAATCAGGGAAATTTAAAATTCATTTTCTGTGGCAACCCTGTTAATAGTATTATAATAACTTTATATCTAATACAAAACGCATCAATTAACAATTCGGTGATATATTTAATAATAATTTGTGTGACATTTGTTGCGCTAATGTCTATACCAATCAAATCGACATCTCACAATGAAAAACGTTTATGTGTGTGCGTGCGTGCGTGGTACGCGCGCGCGCGCGTGTATGTGTTAGATAAATATAAGAGAATCCACATGGTACACACAACACATATGTAAATACACCAAGCATATATGTAACATATTCATATTTGGCACAGATGTTTAGCTCTATCCAAGATTTTGCCATTATAGGATAATAATAATGATAGCATAATAATAATAATAACAAAATTATATTTATGTGAATATAGGCCAATAGTTTAATCTTTGTATTACGATCATCTTATATTAAGCTTTAATGTATATATATGTGTATATATATATATATATATATATTGTGTATATATATATATATACATACATACATACATACATACATACATACATACATACATACATACATACATACATACATACATACATACATACATACATACATACATACATACATACAAAGTGTTTCAAAAAGATCGGGACACCTGAATATCTCGGAAAATATAAGTTTTATAGAAAAGTGTTTCAGATAAAAGTTGTAGGGGGTTTAAACAGATTTATTTACTTATCAGTTTGACCTTGAGTGGCGTCAAGATTAGGTCAAGGTCACATCGATTTTTACAAACGAAAAACCCTACATTTGATTCCAGAATCTAATAGTTGGTGTCGAGAGCTTTTCAAAACACTATAACAAAGTTATTTTTTATCAAGTACTTTTCGAGTTATAAGGCTTGAAAGTTACAGTACCACCGGCATTAGCATTACACAAGGTATATTTTATTTACGTAAAAATGAATTTTTAGTACAAAATTGGAAATAAGAGGAATAATCTCCAGTGGCCTTGATCTTGACAAATGTTATTCAGGACATGATTCTGAATAACATTCAAGAGATTTTAGCTGTCGGTTGGACACCTTGCGTAATGCTAATAGCTAATACCGGTGGTACGGTAACTTTCAAGCCTTATAACTCGAAAAGTACTTAATGAAAAATAACTTTATTATAGTATTTTGAAAAGCTCTCGACATCAGCTATTAGATTTTGGAATCAAAAGTAGGGTGTTTTATTTAAAAAATTCGATGTGACCTTGATCTGATCAATGTGACCTTCGTGACGCCACTCAAAGTCAAACTGATCAGAGCAGTAAATAGATCTTCTCAAACCCTATAACTTTTGTCTGAAATACTTTTACAACTTATATTTTCCGAGATTCAGGTGTCCCGACCTTTTTGGAATACCCTATAATAAGTGTGAATCAGAATAGTTGAACCAGTTTCTTACTCAATGAGAAAATTATCGATTACGCACCTAATTATCGACTTAACGATACAGATCGGATGCATGGACATCGTGCGAACTGTTGGTCTGAGTGCGAAAACAGGCACGTTAAGTTGTGAAAATTGTTACAAGATTTTATTTTTATTATACGAAGATATTAAAAATGTGCCTTTTTCTCAGTTCGCCCAGACCAACAATTCGCACGATGTATTCACGCATCTGATCTGTATCGCTAAGTCGATAATTAGGTGTAAGGTCGTGTAATTTTTTCATAGGGTAAAAAAATTGTTGATTCACAACATTAGCAAATAATATGGATGTAATGATTCACTGTGTTATACTGTCATCTGTGTCTCTTGTTGGAAAGCACTCATAATGAGATTTGAAATATGTTCAAATATTTCGATGATATATGATGAATTAAACGTCACAACTTTCTGTATCATATTTGCATTTCATTTATTAAATCAAAATTTTAATTTATCTGTAGCATTATGTTATAGATAATTTTTTAAATATTTAACATTTACATAATCATAGATATATTCTTTTTACAGAATAATTACAATATTATATTATATTAATATTTATAATAACTTTATACAGAATTTGTAATTATCTGAATTTTTTTGCATAGTGTATGTGTACATAATTACTGGAAAAGAAAGAACACGTGCTCGGGTGCTATAGTAGAACTAAGAGCTATACATGGGGGATTAAGATAAATAGCACACAGAACAACATAAGCAATTTGTAAATTTTGTAAGCAATAAACAAATTAACATTTTTTATTTGCTACTGCTTATGTTATTGCCTTATGTTCTGTTATTCACTTACTGTTTATATTTATGTTATCCGATGTGCCACTAACTTAAATTGCGCTGCTAATATGAGAATACAACCAAGATTATATTAAAATCGGAGGAGAATTCTTAGTCGTGTTCTGATATACACTGACAGTACTCAAAATCTATAAATATATTTACGTTACACACTATTGGTTTTCAGTATATATCGGAACATGAAAGTATCCTTCTCCAATTTTAATAAATTTTGTATATGTTAAAATATAGACGAAAGTGAGATATATCTTTTTTTATAAAATTTTTTTTTAAGTGCTTTATAAAAAATTTTTTATATATGCTTTATAAAAAAATACATGTCCTTCGTTTTTGTCCATATTTTAACATATCTAAAGCTTATTAAAATCAGGATATTTATGTTCTCTTGTAAGTGATGGAACGAACTCACCGACGTGCACGATTCAACAATTCTGCTGAAAGCAACGCTAATAAAAGCGTTTTTTCATTGAAATCCATATTGTAAATAAATTTACAGCATTATAAAATTGTGAATTTGCTCAAGTTTGCAATTGCGCTATTTAGCAGAGTTACTGAATCATGAAGAGGTCTGTTTTTTATTCCTGCACTCTTTGAGCTGGTGTATATACATGGTGAAATAAGTTGAAGTAAAACAAATATACATTTGTTTCATTTCAACTTACTTCACTGTGTACACTCCCGACGGGCCTTTTTCACCAACCTCGATTAAGCTAACCGACGGTTGCATGGGGTCTAGTTTCACAACTCGTGATTAATTCTTAACCGAGGTTTAACTTATTTTAAGTTAAACCTCGGTTAAAAGTTAACTATGAGTTGTGAAACTGGCCCTAAGGCCCATGTAATCGTCGATTAGCTTAACCGAGGTTGGTGAAAGAGATCCTTAAGGTTGCAACAGATTTTTTTCTATGGTTTTCGAAATGCCTACTCATCGAGTGATTGGTTTTTACTTACGGATCCATAAGTAAGAATCAATAGCTCGGTGAGTAGACTGCATTTCGAAACACATTAAAAAAAAATGTTATAACTTTTTAGTCGGTGAGTGTATACCAGTTCAGAGAATGCAGGAATAAAAAACAGATCTCACATCAACAATTTTTTTTTCATCACTTGGTGGCGTGATTGAGTCGATAATGTAAATTGAGTCTAACCATGGGTCATAGTTCTAAATCCGCACTTCTATTGTTTCAAAATAATTTGCAACAAATGCAATAATTTTGAAATTTTTTTATGGATTTTTTTTTACAAAATTAATTATATTTACCTATAAAATCGACATTTTAGGTTATTTACCCAGATAGCCAAATGCAGTGTATTTGCTATTATATATTGCCGAAAATGTTCCAGCAACCAATTTCGACAAATTCACAACAAGCATTATGTCTGTCGCGTTGAATTCAATGGAATTCGAATTCTTGAGATGGCAAATTGATGGTAACATGTCAGCACAAATATCCTTGACAACAACTCGTGTTGTCAGCATTTTGTCAGCAACGAGCTGCAATTAAAAAACTTCATAGCTTGAAGACATATTTGCAACAACGGATGGAAATCATTATATATGTTTCGTTGCTATCATGTTTTCATTATGATGCTCAAGATGAAATGATTAATAATTTGTTGCTAACATGTTGCTGTCATGTTGTCGACAACATAATGTATCACCATTGCTTACAGTTTGCTTTAGAAATTCGACAATATATAAGCAATCATGTTGTATTCATAATGTCCTATTTTGATGTTAGCAAATGTACAGCAAATATATAACAACAAATGCAATGCATTAATTTGCACAATATGCTATATCACGCTTGGTTATCTGGGTAGTTTGTTTTTAAAGTGTCGTATTTTATACAATGATACATTCAGGCTGCGGTCGATTTGGACGCTCATGCGTTTTAAGTACTTGTATTCATCATTCGTCGTTTATTAGACGTAAAATAAGAATAGAAGAACTGAAAAGCGCTGAAAGCGTCCAAATTGACTACAGTCTTAGTAGATCTTTCTTCCAGTGCAACATAACAATATACGCATGTAAATTCTTCCATGTTGGAATAATTATATATATATATATAATATATAGAAAAAAGGTGCCACCTCCAATGACCTTGACATATTGTCAAAGTCATGACTCTGAGTGACCTTCAACAAGTTTTAAGCGTCGGTCGCTGTTCGTTAAAAAGTTATTAACAAAAAAGTTCGAAAAAAAATCTTATTTCTACTATATGTAATATTAAAAACCATTCTATATCCTTTGCTTACGTAATGGTTTTCTACGCGAAGGGAGTTTTATTCCACCTCTCCTGCTTCAGGGGCACACGACTTCCACGCGAAGCGACTTTCAACCCACCTCCCTTCCTACTAAGGAGTATCTTCTGCTTCAGGGGCGCACGACTTTCCATGTGAAGCAACTTGGCGAGATGGGATGGAACTCGCTTCGCGTGGAAAGTCGTATGCCCCCTGGTAGGTGGGGCGTAACTTGCTTTATGTGAAAATCGTGCGCTCCTGAAACAGGGGGGAGGTGGGGTGAAAGTCGCTTCGCGTGGAAAGTCGCGCGTCTCTTG